ACGTAAACTAAAGTTATCGTAATTTTACTGAACGTTGCCCTTTGCAGCAAAAAATTAGCAAAAATGGCCCGCGCACCTGTTAGCGCGCGATAAAAACTACCCGCAAACAATGTTTAAGGTGTTCTTTCAGCACTGTAGATAATTTTTAAAAGCTATGGTCTTAAAGCCTAGAATTAGGTGCTCTGACAGTGTAGGGGAAGAACTTTATATGTTTTTGGTAAAGTTGATGATACAGGGAGTTTGATTTCTTTGTTGAGACTAGCCCACCTGTGACCTGATATACTGATCAGTGTAAATCTTCTTAGAGCAGTAGTTCTCAACCTTGGCTGCACATTAGAATCACCTGGGAATCTTTTTAAAATCCTGATTTCTGGGCTTCATCCACAACATTAGTAACAAAGAAACAGAATTTCCGGAGGATGAGGCCCAGAAATCAGGATTTTAAAAAGATTCCCAGGTGATTCTAATGTGCAGCCAAGGTTGAGAACCACTGTCTTAGAAGAAAAGGGGCAGTAAATGCTGTCATGTGCCTTTAATTATTTGAATGATGTTAGTGGGGCTTTAATAACTATGGAGAACTGCCTAGAAAAGGAGTCCTAAAGGAAAGTTAGGTCACACTCTACCACTTCATTAAAATTTCATTTTCTTTCCTTTTCCTCACCAGGCTGCTAGCTCCAGACTGTGAAATCCTACAGGAAGTGGGAAAACTCTACCCACTGGAAATAGTGTTTGGAATGAATGGAAGAATATGGGTGAAGGCAAAAACCATTCAGCAGACCTTAATTTTGGCAAACATTTTAGAAGCTTGTGAACATATGACAGCAGACCAAAGAAAACAAATCTTCTCCAGGTTGGCAGAAAGTTGATCTATGTGGATTTTTTTATAGTTGATCCAAGAGACTGGATTCCCTGGGGAAAAATTTTTCAGGTGGACCTCTCCCCATTAATCTTCAGAAGATAAGATACTGTCTTATGTGAGTCTTAAAATATTTTTATAAACAAGTCACTGGTTGCCACTCATGTTCTTGTGGGTGAAAAAAATCATAAAATAGTACTATTTTTTCTTTTATAATAAAGTTTACTAAAAGTATTATGATTTACTTGGTGTTAATTTCCTTAGTTTTCCTGGAAGTAACCATTGAAATAACACTTATTTTCTGATAATAGTAAAACATGTTCATCAAAGAAAATGTAGAATACATAAAAAGTATGAAGCAGCGAACAAAAATCACTTGTAATCCTATTATGTAGTGGTGAGTATGTAACAGCTAACAATTATCATATATTTACAAATCAAGTATTGTTCCAAGTGTTTTGTTTGGATTGACTCATTTATTCTTAGTAACTGCAAAAGACAACTTCCTAGTGCAAGAAACTGAGGCTTAACTTGGCCAACATTCTCAACCACTACATGTGAATATATGTTTTTCAAAATGGAATTATAGAATTATATTTTATATACTAGCCTGTAATATACTTTGTCCACTTCATACATTTAAATATATTTCTTTCATGATAGCTATTAAAAATTCCATAGTTGTATAATGCTTCATTTTTGTGTTATAGGATATTTTGGATATGTCCAGCTTTTTGTTGTGTTATAAAAAACACTCTGATGAGGATCTCTGAATATAAGTTCATCCAAGTCTTATTTTGCCAAGGGTCATTTCCTAGAAGCCAAACAAAAAACTACCTACCTAGGTTTTGAAGAAATTGTAGATGTTTGTGGTAGAGTTGAAGAGGAAATTCTGTTATTTGGAATTTTAAGCAAAGCCTTTTGAGGCCAAAATGAAGCCTGGCAGCTGACCCAGGTCAATGGTTCTTGGGTTAGAGACCTCCCTGAGAATATGGTAAGAGTTACAGACCTCTGAGGCCTATTCATAGAGGTCCTCCCTTTTGGATGCATAGGTTATAGAACTATGTTGATAAAGACCAAGGAACATTATGTACAGTGGGGCCTTGACTTATGAGTGTCCCGACTAACGAGTTTTTTGAGATACCAGCTGTCTCTCGGCCGATTTTTTGCATTGAGTTGATAGAGTAATTTGAGGTAATGAGCTCCTTAACGAGCTTGGTCTCAGAACGAATTAAACTCGTAAGTCAAGGCCCCACTGTATTCCTAAAGATGTTTCCTAAAGACTAGGCTGCTCTTAAGTAATCAAGTTCATAGTTCCTGGGGGATTAAATTGTGAAAGGAAGGAGATAGAACCCAGAGGTAACCTTTTGGTTCTTTTGAAATACAGGTTACATTTTTTTCAATTTGCTAGTAGTTTAGAAATAAGTTGATCGACATAAACTGGCCATAGTAACTGAAGCAACTGTATCTAAGTAGGACATAAGAAAAGGCATCAGGATCACTGAGATTTGCATCATAAGAGGTTCTCTAACATGCTTGTGTGAGATGCAGTGTGTTTTCTTTTTTTTAAAATATATTTTATTGATTTTTTACAGAGAGGAAAGGAGAGGGATAGAGAGTTAGAAACATCGATGAAAGAGAAACATCGATCAGCTGCCTCCTGCACACCCCCTACTGGGGATGTGCCCACAACCAAGGTACATGCCCTTAACCAGAATTGAACCTGGTACCCTTCAGTCCACAGGCCGACGCTCTATCCACTGAGCCAAACCGGTTAGGGCTATTTTCAAGTTAGACTTATCAGTACTATGTTTTTGCTTTTCAATTTGAACTGATAATTCAGATATATGTGCAAAATCTAGTTTGTACAAGGCTCAGAAGGATACAAAAATACTCCCACAGATTGTCCCGTAGGAAGGCAACAGTTAGGAAGAGAGAAGCCTTCCACACCCATACTTGGCACAGGGAAGACAAGGTAGGAGCCACAGGTGGGGCAAATTGCTATGGGGGCTTAAAGAGGGCTAGGTTAGGACAGGCTGATCCTGAAAAGCACATGTATAGCACATTATTGAGTTAGGGAAAATCAGCATGATCAGAGCAGGTTGGACAAAGTCATACAACTTTATGATGCCACTTTAGTGAAAATTAAATTCTTGATATCACAATATTTAATTATTTAAGCTACCTCTAAAGAGTAGATTTTTTACAAGTAGATGTAGAAAAATAAATTAACACACCCAAAGCCATGTAGTTTAAGGGCTAATTCCTTGTTATGTAAACTTTTTACTTAGTCAAGATAAACAGGGCACTTCCTGTGAGCTAGGCACTATAGGAGATACAAAAGAGCATAAAATGTGGTCCCTGTTATTAATAACATCCTAATGAAGATCCGAGATGTCAAGTAAAGGCAAGTGTGTGCCATCACCACTTTGCTCTCCTCTTTGGTCAAGGCCCCTCCAGCAACTTCACCTCCTGCAGGTGCACTCTTAGGCTGTCCATCATTCCACTGAGTTCTGAAGAACATAGCCTTTTCTGGAAGAAACTCCTTTCTTCAATGCTTCAGGCCAGTTTTGAGTCTCAAAGTAGGTGGACAGGATATCAAATACTGTTAGAAGGGTAAATAGAAAACACAGTGACCACACACTGGAAAAAAAGAACTAGTAAATGACTAATGAAAAGGGTGTACTTGAATATTCAACAAACCTACTCTGTACCACACCTGGTATTAGATCCTGGGGAGACAGAGGCAAAGCTACAGGCTCTGCTTGCCCACAAGCACTGCCTACACTGAGAGATGTAGGCGTATAAATGGACAATGCTGCAACAGAGAGGGACACAATACAATGGGAACACAAAGGAAGGGTCCCGACGTGGCCTGGGACAGGGAGAGGAGCAGCCAAAGTGCCTGTGAACTGAATCCTGAATTCACTGTCAATGATGGGTTAAAGGCAGGGCGTTCTAGGTCAAGGCAACAATTTCAACTGTATTTAACATAGATCGGAATTAGGAAGAAAATGAAAAATCGCTTTGAGAAGCCAGAATACATGTCACAAAGTGCATGCAATAAAGTACAAGCACATCAGTCATGGGGGTAAGCTGCGTCAAGGCCATTCATACTTAGGCATGATGCAAGAAGCACCAGAATTAACACATTAAGCGTGGGCCGTGTGAGCTGTACCTTGATTGATGGCCAATATCTCTGAATGATAGTTTTTCTCATTCTGGCGTCTGACCATGTATTCCTGGATTGGCAAGCGGGCTGTCTTGACAGAGTGTTCTCGGGCCTTTTGAAATGTCACCTTCTGTAAATAACAGTTAAATATTTTTCTTTTAAAAATAATACATGAAAATATTTTCATGCATAGCAAATTATGAGAATCCCCATTTATCATTCTAATTTCATCTATAATTATAATTAATGATAAATGTATTAAAAAGAAGTAGCCTGTTATTAACCATGTCACCCCAATAAATTCAATTTAAAAAAGTGAAAAAAGAAAAGTAACCTCCAGATAATTAAGAGTTCTGCAGATAGCCCTAGCTGGTTTGGCTCAGTGGATAGAGTGTTGGCCTGCAGACTGAAGGGTTTCAGATTCGATTCCGGCCAAGGGCACATGCCTGGGTTTCGGGCTCAATCCCCAGTAGGGGGCGTGCAGGAGGCAGCCAATCAATGATTCTTATCATTGATGTTTCTCTCTCTCTCCCCCTCTCCCTCTCTGAAATCAATAAATATATTAAGAAAAAAAAGTTCTGCAGATAATGAAGAGTATTTATTTGTCCCAAGTAAGGAATGGCTTGTGCAGCAACACCTCACCTATTTGGGAGTCATTTATCCACTGTCTTCCACTCACTACTACTTACAACCAGGAAGGAAATAAGTTAGAAAAGGCATATCTACGGTCAAAACTTCAAGCAGTCTAATCAATCAGAGGAGAGCATGCCTGGCCCTAACTCAGTAAGTCCCAATCTGGATATCGAGTTTTCAGCTCATAGCCAATTGGTAGCAGCAAATTAGAGAGAAGGGAGACAGGATTCAGGTCAGGTACACCAGTAGCTGCAAGAGAGCATTAGGTGGGAGAGCTAATGCTCTCCTGCTGCTACTGAGGAAGAAGGGCTCTGAAAACTGCAAAAAAGGAGTCAAAAGAACTCAAGAAGTCCAATAATCTGAAGCCATGTTGGGTCTCATTTAGAGAAAAATTATTAATGTCCCTTTATTTTTATTTTTTATAGATATATTTTTATTGATTTCAGAGAGGAAGGGAGAGGGAGAGAGAGATAGAAACATCAATGATGAGAGAGAATCATTGATTGGCTGCCTCCTGCACGCCCCCCACTGGGGATCAAGCCCACAACCTGGGCATATGCCCTGACCGGGAATCGAACCAGTGACCTCTTGGTTCCTAGGTCGACGCTCTACCACTGAGCTACACCTGGCTCGGCTATTAATGTCCCTTTAAAAATGTCCCTGCCCTAGCCGGTTTGACTCAGTGGATAGAACATTGGCCTGTGGACTGAAGGGTTCCTGGTTTGATTCTGGTCAAGGGTACATGCCCAGATTGTGGGCTTGATCCCCAGTGTGGGGCGTGCAGGAGGCAGCCAATCAATGATTCTCTCTCATCATTGATGTTTCTATCTCTCTCTCCCTCTCCCTACCTCTCTGAAATAAAAGTACATTTTAAAAAACAAAAAGGTGTATATAAAAAAAGTCCCTGAACCATGAACTGAAGTTTATATTTGCTACCTTATAAGAAGCTGGAAAGGTACCTTTTTGCAATTCCAGGGTTCAAGGGAAAGATTTAGATTACTGGGATAATTAACATACTCAAGTCTGGAAGGGACCTCAAGAGTTAACTATTCCCCTCCAACCACATTGATTGGTTGCCACTTGCACATGCCCCAACCGGACCAGGACCGGAGATCGAGTCTGCAACCAAGGTATGTGCCTTTGACTGGAATCGAACCCATGACCCTTCAGTCTGCAAGCCAACCACTGAGCAAAATCAGCTAGGGCGGGAAATTCTTGATATTGAGCCAGTTTTCTATTGTTTTTTTTTCTGAGACTTCCACTCATTTGTCTAGTTCTACCCTCCCAGGGCCACAGCAAGCAAGTAAAATGGCCCTTCCACAAGACAGTCATTCAGATACTTCAAGTAGGATCATGCCACTATGAATCCTCTAGTCTCCAGACTCATGGTCTCAGTTCTGTCAACTTCCTTGACTATGACTTAGTTTTGAGTCCCTTCGTCATTCAGGTCAACCTCTCCTGAACTTGTTTTAGCTTATTAATGTCCTTTCATTGACCGTCCCATAATTGACTGGGCACCTAAGTATGGTCTAACCAACTGGAACAGCATGAAGCAGGCCTAGCACCTTCTTTGTTCTCATACCTGGACTACACGCCTCTCAGACTCACATGAGACACAGTTCCAATAGAGAACTTCCAAAAATGTTTTAAGTAATGTGATTCGGATGGAATAAGGGTACAGTTATTCAAAGGACTTCTTTGAAGGACAACACTCCTTGCATATATGAGCTATTATTGTCTTTTTTTTTTTTTTGGAAGTCTATTCCTTTTTAACCACTTTGAACCAGAGTATAGAATTAAAAGTTAGCAGGAGACTTGGATGCTGCCCTGGAGGAGACTACTGTCTAGTGTTTGTTCTCTGAACATTAAAGATAAAATGACTCCTCTTGAAGAGACATTTTTCTTAGCATTTTTCTAAGAAGCCAAATTCCAGTAACAACCAAAAAGTTCCGTTCATCTGACAAATCTCTGTGCCACTTATTTTTCAGTTTAAATGTTGGTGGAGAAAGAAGGTAAGATGCTGTGTCAAAACTACATCTATAGCTCATACTCACTGATCCTTAGACTTTGCTGCCTCCAAAAAGGGGCTGTCACTCTGCTGTGGGAGACAGCATTTAACTGTTGTCTTTTAATCTCCTTTAAACTAAAACAGCCCCCCCCCCCTCCAACTATTTTAGTTTTTATTATTACACTGGCTTTTTTGAAAGTCTAGCCCAGTTCTCTTGCATGTCTCACATTCTAGATCTGTTTCCTCACGATTAAATTAAATTTAAACATGTTCTAGTAAGAATACTTCTCAGGTGAGATTCCATCTTATCAGGAGGTACCTAATGTCACTATTGGTGATTCGTAATTTTGATCACTTGGGTAAGATGGTGACCTCCATGT